AAGTTTTTTCAAAGTGAGCGGCTTCAACACGGATACCGAAGCGGGACCGCGACCTCACGATCCCAAGCTGGCACTTGACTTGAAGAGAAAGTTTCAGCACCTCCGCTTTACTGCTGCCCAACCAGACAATGGAATAAGAATTCTGCAAACTCCTATCCGCGTTGCGGGGAACGATGTAAATGCGGTTGTGCCCACTGACCTCAAGTAGCTGTGGAAGGATCTTGGCCTCAACTCTGGCTTGGAAAACAGCTTTTTCGGCCGTGGCGGGGACAGTGGGTTTATCCCCTGCAAAGAACTGCCTGCCCCAGGGGTTGGCAAAAGCACGATCGATGCCCGATTTTCGAAACATCTCCTGCACAGATTTGACTGGGGAAGTCGTCAGATTTTGCCAAGCCTCAACTTCGAACTCATCACTGTAAGCCTCGAAAGAGCAACACGTCACATCAGGCAGATCAATGGCCACATCTGAATGGTGCTTGGTAACGACCTTGCGACCACCAAGGTTGTGCATGCAACCCGCCAGCAGCAGGGGGGCCTTATCCGAGGACGCCCAAGCAGGGAAGGAAAGCTTACCATCACACTTAGCAGGATCAGGGCACTGGTGACCCAGTACAACCACACAGAGTTCATCCGGCTGGATGCCCGTCAATGCCCCAAGTAGCTCACCTGCTTCGTTGTCATTGACCAAAACCACACCGGAGGCACCTGGCTGCAGCCCTGCAAGAAGATTGGCCGGGGAGCCGTCAGCATTGAAGAAGAACTCCGGCGCCAGTTGCACGTCAGCTGCCCGGATGCAGCACCTATCCTGAGCCCGGCGGCGTTGCGCGGCCTTCTTCATGCGCCCATCCGCCTTGGCCTGGTGAGCAGACACCGCTGGCGCAGCTACATCGGTTTGTTTGGCAAGTTCCAACATCTGATTCCAGCGGTCCTGGGCGGGGCCTTGCAACACTGTGGCAATTCTGGAAGCACCAGCTGCATTTGTCAACTGATCAACGAAGCGGGTGGTGCGTGCCAAGTCGAGGCCACTACTTAAGCAAAGCGAAGCAGCCCTTGTCTGAACCCAGCTAAGGTTTTCAGCTTTTGCCCCACCACCAATGCATTCTGGCTGCAGACTCAGCAGAAGGTGCCCAGTCTTGCGCATCACATGCCGTCGTTCCTGCAGCTGCACAGCACCGACCTCAGTGCCCAAAGCAATGGGAAATGGGCCAGAGAAAATGCGACTGTTGGGCGGCGCTTCACATCTGTGGGATGCCCGAGCCCACCATGTTTCAAGATCCTGCACACATAGTGCAGCGGGAAGGCCGCCGATCCATACTGTGCGCGCTACTACCTGAACCTCCACCTGAATCACTGGCTCATCGGCAGCGATTGCCTGGCAATGTTGAAGCAATGCAACGAATAGCCAAATGCGCCACAGGCCCTGCAGGCATTCCTCGGAGACTGAGATCACTCCAGGAATTGGTGTCAGTGTGATGGTCATGTGTTCAACAACTCGGAGCGGATAGCCATGCAAGTCAGCGCGCCATCCTAAGGCATTGAGGATGTGGAACGGGGCACCCAACCACAAGTTCATGGCCCCTTCCGAATCAGTGACAACAGCAAGGCCTCCCTGCAACCGAAACAGGCGTGTCGCGTCGCCCGCCAGGGCAAGATGCACAAGTGGGAAAACCGGAACCTCAGGATCCTCTGGTACCGCGACCATCCAAGGCTGGAAATCATGCAAGTGGTCCAGGCGCATCCCGAAAATTGAAAAGAGACTCAGGTGACAGTCGGCAACATGAATGTCTTCAGCAATGCACAGCAACTGCGCCCATGTACTAGGTCCGGTAGTGGACACCACATACACCTGACCCGGAGAAAGGACGGTGCACCAAGGTCGGTAGCCTTCTCGGTCCGCATCAGCAAGTTCAAGCGAAAGTCGCATGGGAGCAAGGACCTGCACCTGTGCCTGTTGCATAAGCGGCTGAAGCAACATCGTACCCGAAGCCGGTGTCGCCACACAATTGACATGTTTCAGCAGATCAACCGGCAAAATCCCAACCGGAACCTTCAGTGCTTGCAAGGATCTCCCGGCCTCCAACGTGATGGAGGTGTGCACTTCCGCTGGGGGTGTGCACCAGGCATCCTGCGGAAGCCCGCCGCCTGAGCGAATCACAGAACTTGTCTGGTCCCTGGAGCACAGGATCCAATCAGACGCGACAGGCAGCAGCACCGAATTTTGGGAGTGCAAGCGTAACTTACAGGCAAAGTGCACTGCATCTGCTGGGTCAGGAACCCCCTGAAGCCCTAAAACCCGGCAACCGTAAACCAAACCCACTACCGCATGCGGCACCGCGATTGCGTTGCCAAGCAGTTTCATCTGGATTTCAGAAGACGCGTCCAGCAGCACGGGTTGGACAGCTCCGTGCAATGAGGCTATTTCGGCCCCCGCGAAAAACCTCAAGCAACCCTGAAACTGAAGAAGACATCCCAAAATTCCCCTGCTGGCAATCATATTCTCAGGCAAGAGATGCTGTGATTGATACATAGCAAGGAACGTGCCTGCCTGACCATCTGATGTCTTAATGCGGTACTGAGCAGGAGTCTGCGGTCGTGCGCCTGGCCGTGCCGGAGCAGGCACGTACCAAGGATCCATATACTTTGCGAGCACCGCGTCAGCGGGTATTGCAGCCCGAAGCAAGGGGCCTGGGAGATCAAACACCGCATGTGCATGGCCGAGCGTACTACGACGTTCCATGGACCAACTGACCGGGTGAACCACGACTTCGGGGACCGCATCTTTACGAACGAACACACTGATGTGCCGTACCCTCTGGCATGGTAAAACATCAAGCAAATTGAGCGAATCCTGCCAGCGCACCTCATAACCTGCAAGTGCCCATGCTCTCATGACCACTGCATAATGGGGATGCCTGACAAAGTTTGCAACCTGCTCCAATACAACGACCGGGACTTGCGCAGCCGCAACCGCATCAATCAACCTGAGCATGAGCATACCTTCTACGGAATCCAGACCGCTTTCACGGCCGGCTGCACTCCATGGTTGGCAGGGAGGGCTTGCCGCAACAAGCTGCACCGGTTTGTGCAAGAAGCCGCGTAGCCACCAGTTCTGCTGAATATCCCCTGAAAGATGAACCCTGGAATCTCCGGATGCCACTGCCACCTCGAACTCTGCAGGTGAGCGAACAAAGATGGTGTCTGGTTCCCTGCATCGGATCATGCGATCACAGTCATCATCAACATCAAGAGACCACTGAGTATGAAGGGGCACGCTGCACCTGTTAAGGACATAAGCAGCTTGCGCAAACCCATTGAATCCCCCGCAGAACAACTCTGCCATCTGAATGGATTCCCCTAACTCAACTGGGGCAGCACCCAGGACAACTGACCGAATGTCAGTACAATCCAGGATCACTTCGCTGCCTTGCTGCCCAATGACTGCCTGTAGAACCTTAAGCGGCCCCCGTACATGCCTCAAGACACTCCAATCTGCCAGCCTCAACTTCAAGACCACAATGGTTGTTTGCCCCGGAACATTGCCCACGTGTCGGCAAGTAGCTCGTATCCAGAAACAACCCTGAGCCTCATGACCAGCACCCACTGGGGAAACGACGAAGTTCAAGACCTCCCCATGCATCCCAGGAGAAAGCTGGGAGGCCAATCTCTGAAGTCTGTCCCACTCGTACAGGTAACGCGACTCTGAATCTGTGTCTCCCATGGCTCAAATAAAACCCTACGGCCCGATCTGCACCCCCGAAGGGGCAACGACACCGCCTCGTGTAGGCTCGGGCCCAGATGCTCCGCAACCCTGAACCCTCGATCCCATCCTGAACCCTAAACAGACGGAAAAGAGGGTTCAAACAAAAAAAAACCCTCAAGCCTAAACCCTATAAACACTGAACCTTTAACCCTCCCTAAACCCTCAACCCTAAACCCTAAATCCCAAACCCTAATCCCTGAACCCGAAGCCTTAAACCCTTAACCTCTAGACCCTAGACCCTAAACCCTACACCCTAATCTCTAAACCCTAAACCCTACATGCTGAACCCCAAACCCTCAACCCTGCACTCCAAACCCTAAACCGTAAACCCAAACCCTAGCCCTAAACCACGAACAATGAACCCCAAACCCCAAACCCAAACCGTAAACCCCAAGCCTAAACCTAAACGGGCGAATCAACCCTGAACACCCGAAGCCGTAAAGCACCCTGAACTACCCCAAACCCTGATGCTTCACCCTAAACCCTAAACCCTCAACCCTGAAGCCTAAACCCTAAACCAAGAACGTTTAACCCTAAATTTTAAAGCCTAAACCCTCAACCCTAAACCCTAAATCCCAAACCTTAATCCCTGAACCCGAAGCCTTAAACCCTTAACCTCTAGACTCTAGACCCTAAACCCTAAACCCCAATCCCTAAACCCTTAAACCCTAACCCTAAACCCTACATGCTGAACCCCAAACCCTCAACCCTGTACCCCAAACCCTAAACCGTAAACCCTGACCCTTAACCGCGAACTCTGAACCCCAAACCCAAACCGTGAACCCCAAGCCTAAACCTAAACAGGCGAATCAACCCTGAACACCCGAAGCCGTAAAGCACCCTGACCTACCCCAAACCCTGATGCGTCACCCTCAGGACCCGGAGCAGTTTCGAGGGAAAATATTCATGCATTTTTTTCCTCGAAAACTCAGGCCAGCTGCCCTAAAGCTAAACCTTGAAACCGTAAACCCTAAACCGTGAACCGTAAACCCTGAACCCCGAGGCTAGACCCCAACCCCATGACCGTAAACCCTGAACCCTAACCCCAAACCGCGAACGTTGCGAGAAGGTCGAAGATGCAAGGTTGAAGCCCGATCCGAAGTCAGAGAAGTCACAAGTGTGATTTCATTCATTTTAGCTGCGAGATGTTGCAAACTCGCTGGCTAGAGAAGTCACAAGTGACCGGGCCTATCGTTTGTCCCTGTCACGAATACACGAACACACGAAGTTCCTTTTGCAGGTCCTATATCACCACGACCTCGCCTGCTTCGGCTCCGTGGCTCTGACACCTGCGTCTCTGTGAGCCACGGAGCGACAAGACGCAACGCGCTCTGCGGCGCGAGGTTCGTCGTCTCTGGGAGTACACCATGCTCTATGCAATGAAGGAGAAGGTGCCGCGACCGATTTGGGTTAGAGCGTCAGCTGTGCTTGCAGCAGGTGGACATTTGGTCGAGCACGCTGTCCAAGAATTGGAAGAGCGGCCGAACGCACTTCATGCCCTGCCTCCAGCTGGTCCCGTTGGCCCGTCCACGGTCTGCGTTCCGAGTCCCAGGTCGACGTTCTTGAGCTCAAGCAGCGTTGAAGGTCTGGACAGGCCGGGTCAGGTACTGATGACGCACAATCAATGTAGGACTGTACGAAGTTGGATGTGGAATGTAGATGCCCTGAGCTGTCGATCTTTGCTGTGCACTCCCTGGCCTTCTGCAGGATGCCTCTCTGGAACAATCGTGTCCTCATGACGGACCGGCCTCCTATCTCGTGTCTTCCGTCCTGCGGTCGAGTGTATCTCATGCCTGAGAGCGCGACCCGCCGCCGGTCAGGACTGCGAGGTGCTCCGGCTGTCCTTCTTTCGATCTTCAAGGTATCAGGACCGCCTGTCAGATGGCGTTCAAGTTGATGATGCGGGCAGCACGGTGCAGACCGGACAGGGGTAGAGCATCAAGGGAAAATCATGCAAACAGGATAGGCTGGGGGCAAGCAACACGCTGCAAGCACGCAGCAAACAAGACAGGGATAACTGGAGATCACCACAATACTGTACTTCGGAATACGATCCATCATGCTGCAACAGGACAGGGGGAGCGAGATGGAGAGAGCAGCAGGAGGCTGTAGAGTGCACAACAAAGACGCACGCTGCACGTCGGAAAGGGGTAGACGGTAGAGAGCACCAAGGAGCAAACGCTGCAAACAGGATGGGCGAAATAGAAACATGCTGCAAGCAGGACACAGAGGTGCAACGGGGCAGAGTGCACCCAGCAACAAAGGCACACAGGACACGGATACATCTAAACACGCTGCAAACAGGCTGCTGGTGGGAGAGCAAGCTAAGCACGAGCGCATGGCGAGCAGCGGCGACCGTACGCAGTGCAGCCGTCTATGGCTTTGCATACTGCCGGCCTCTGTTGCAGGTGCTGCATGTGCGTGTTTTGGTTTGAATGCGGAAGCCTTCTACGGCCAGAGTTTTGATGAGACTCGACTCACGTGGCCTTGCTGAGCTCTCACTGCTGAGTGTTGTGTCCCTAAAGGCACATTGCCCAAGAACCCACCAGAGCCAAAGGCCCTGGCACAGGATGCGGCCGCTGTCAGGCAAGCGGAGAAGCAACACCGGCTCCCAACACATCGTGTTGAAGCTTAAAGCTTGAGGCAGGTGCGGCTAGCGATCTGGAGGCTTCCATAGGATTCCATCGGCCCGGGACAAATACAAAGACGCAACATGCCAGGAGTAGCTCCCATCGGCATTGCTTCTGTCTGCAGTTAAGGCCTGCCCAGCATCATCTTCGAGCCGGATGCAGCCACGTCTTTGTAGGAATTGTGGCATTATTCACACGATCATCACAGACGTAGGCCCGGATTGTTCTGATATGCAGCAGACAGGATGCTTGGAGAGAGCACCAAGCATACTGCAAACAGGACGGGGGATGAGATCACCAGAATATACACCAAGCGAGCGACAAACAGGACAGGGGAAGGGAGCACGACAAGAAGCACATGTCGCACACAGGAGAGTGGTACGAAGCATTGAGTAAACGCAGAGAGTGCAAACAACAGAGAGGTAGAAGGCCTTAAACAACTCCGGGAAAAGGCGAGGGCTAGGATTGGACAACTGTGAAAGAGCTACATGCAGAATAGGGGTGGGCAGCCGAAATTAACACGTGCTGCAAGCAGAATCTGCCAAGGCAAGCCATGCCAGACCTTCCAAACACCACAATCGCCAACGCACCAGCAGAGTGGCGAAGCAGCTCGGCTAGCTGAGGGCAGACGCAGAATTGATTACGGGAGTGGCTCGCAAAAGGCCTGCGACCGAGAGCCAACCAATTCTGCTTGCTGCAAAACACAGAATTGATTGACTATGGGAGTGGGCGGAGCGAGGTCGGGGTAGGCCTGAGGCCAGTGGAGGCCTTCCTCGAAACACCTGTGCTCAAGATGCAGAACTGATCATCGGAGCGGGAAGGAACCGAGGTCCGGGCCAGCTGCTTTGAATCGATATGGGGGTGACAGAACGCAGGGCTTCAGGGAGATTCCTTCGCCCAGTTGCTTTTGCAACAAGATGGCAATGGGTTATGGAAGAAGGCTCGGCTTCCTTCACCCTGCTTCTGCAACTAAAGGGGAGGGGAAGGGAGCCCGGGCTTCCTTCATCTTAAATGTATGTTCAACAAGCGGGATGTGACCGATGGCCGACCCTTCAGCCAGCTGCCTTTGCAAAAGCGACGAGCATCTCTAAAGCTTGCAAGGTATCGAATGGCAGCAAAACGGTGGCAAACACGAACCTTGCAGCATCAGTCGAGGGTTCTATTGGCGGGCGTGCCCACAATTTGCATCATGGTATTGCAGCATGGTTTGAAACAGTGTCTCATTCTTGTAGGACTACTTCCGGTATCTCGACTCCCTCGAGGGCTTCTGGAGCCACCGTTGGGGTGACCACGCCCCTCTGACTGCACTGAGAAGAAGCGTGGCCATAGTAGGCATTGCTAGCAGCACCGCCGCCAATGCGAGAAACTTTGATTCGCCACAGCGAGCGGAGTTCGCAAGACTTTGGTTGCCTTTTACGGCGCGAGGCTGTGCGGACGTTGGGCGTTGGTCTGGCACTGTGGGAGGAGGACGGTTCGTGCACTGCCTTGTGTCAGGAGTGCCTTCCGCTATCTTTTGCATTTGCAGCATCCGATGTGGTGGAGATCTGTCCGCAGGACAGACCGACGTGGCAGCAGGCGATAGGCCGCGGCAGTGATGGCTGGCCTCGTGCTTTCCAGCAGCCTGGTAGCAGAAACCAGAAGCGATGTCGGGATGCCGAAGGTGTTGAGGCCGGTTCCAGGATTCATCGCGAGAGGATGTCTTGTGTAGAAGTTTTAGGATTTTAGGGCTTCAGTCAATGCGGGCTTGGGAGCTCTAGGATGGTCCTGCCGTATGCGCACCAAGACTTCTGCCAGTGCGACGGGGAGCCTTGGTTGCCAAAAGACAGCCAGACCGTCACCACATACTAGTATCTGTCTTCCCTCTTTCCATGTTTCCTTCGTGAGGAGTGCAGGCCTCTCCACGACCCGAAGCGGGGCGTCGTCTTCGACGAGCTGCAGGCTCCCATCCGGCAGAATTTTGCTGTCGTGTAAAGCTTTTGGGGGTGCTCCGGATCCAGCCCCAAGAGTATTTTTAGGAAGCGAAGTGGATGTGGTTCCGTCTCGCACATGGCCTGCCTACAGTGTCTACAGTTCCGCTATGTCTGAGTCCAGTCAGTGTAAGCGTAAGTGGCACGAAACTGCGCGCGGACTGTGTATGAGTCTGCATCCTTGTGTACCGTCCTGGTGGTCACTGGTGGTTGATGTCAAACGACCTTTTGATACTGTGCCAGGGGCTCCGGAAGAAGTTCTGGACGTGCCATCCAGAACCTCTGGACAAAGACGCAGAGCCGCGGGAAAAGAATCAGCCGCCCGAAGCAGCTCTGCGAAGCAACCGCCCCAAGTCAAGGAACTTGCCCGATCGGAGATCGCACGATCACAGTGGAACATGGCTTCGTTGGCACCAGCCTGCCGGGAGTCATGTTGGCACGATCTTGTCAGCGCCAGGGGCTCTCGGCAGTTTCCGCTAGCAGCAAGTACGATCGAAGTCATGGAACACTGACGATGCTCACTCCATCGCCGATTTCAAAAAACATGCAATAAGTAATCATTGATTGGCAATAGAGTGAGGCTTGAGGCCATGTATCGGTCGATATTATAGGTAGGTGGTCAGCCCGAGTTGAGAGAGTTGCCTTCTCCGTAGTTTCTTCGGCAACAGGACTCCGTGCAGGGATTTGCAAGTCCCGGCCAAAAGTCCCGGCCCAACATTGCTTTTCGGCTTGCTGCGTGTAGTGGCTCGAATGTTGGCCAGTTTCAGCGGCACCGTTTGTCATTCTCCGGCACGTCATGCGCATACCAGCTTCCCATGCAGCATAGTCAGGTCTGCACTTGGCATACATGCTTCGAAAGCAGATCATCTACTTGGCAGAGCGAAACCTATCCGAAAGTTTTTGCGGCGGACGCCACTATCGCACGGATTTTTCGACCTGCAAGCAGTGCGTACAGACTTTGCCGTCTGTTCGCACAACGGCAAACACATTACCGACACGAAAAGCGAGGATCTGCCATGTGTGCGGCTAGCACAAAGCGTGCAGGCATCTCCATTGCTGGATATGCGTTGCCACGCCAATCAGTGAAATGGTGGTGCTGCGCCAATGGGTGTGGTCTGTGCACTGGGCCGCGCACTGAGCTTGGCATAGCTTTCGCCTGCCGCTGCGTTGTCAGCCTTGTGAGGCTCCACACCGGATCTTCACGACGTCCTGCAGCTTCTGCACCTTGAACGAGTGCTGGCATTCTTGGGCCTTCTTGGGAACGACGCCGTTCTTGCCCACTGTGTCCACACCAGCAAACAAGCGTGGAAAAGGTGTGGAAAGCACAAACCTGTCCATGCCACACACGGTCGCCTTGACATCGCTGTCACGTGGACATGCTCGTGACTTTTGGCTTGCTTCCTTTCGACGTTTGCCTTTTGCGATATCCCGCAACTGGGCCGAACTGTGCGAAGGCCCCAGTCACCAACGACAAGTCATGTGGTGCAAGCACATCGGCCTGGACTTGATGTGCGCGTACTGCGCGACTCCTATCAATCGAGACAGCTCGGCATGCATGCCAGCAGTGTGCAGTTCAGTCGCCCCAGCCCCCAAGCCGACGAGGCGTGAGTAACACAAGCGCAGGACATGCGTTCGAACGGTCGTGCAGACTCACGGCGGGACCGGAGGGCGCTCGGCACACCGACATGAATGCAAGAGCAAACACCGCTTTTTGTGCAGACCACCCTACTGTCGGCTCGCATGCACAGGGGAGAACGGAAAAATCTGCACGAGAAGATGCCGCGTTGCGTAAGCAGGGCTGTTTTGCCAGTATTCACACCGCAGCAAGGCAGTTACGAAGGCTGGCTGGCCTGGGGCGGCGACCAGCCCCAACATGCTCTGTCATCATTGTGCTTTCCAAACGGCGATTTCAGTGCTGAACTTGCCACGAGCGTCAAGGCCGGCAGCGCTGCACAGGGGCGAGCTTGGTATTTGAATTGGTATTGTCGCGTGCGTGGCAATGATGCTGCCTCCAATGGCGATTTGAGCTCAGACGCGAGGCACGCGAGTGCTTCTTTATTCATCGCATCCACTACCTGTTTGCCTGCCCTGCGTCCGTCGACGAACACTGCTTCCGGCGACGACGTTCGTGAAACACAGAAGGATTTCATGCAATCTGGATGGCACCTGCCCTTTAGACATCCTTAGACTCTCGGTGCGACCCGCGCTCGGATCGGTCGACGATTTGCAAGCTTCTCTGCACTCTTTGCATGCCCGCTTCTGAACATCGTCAGCGTGCCCAGAAAGGCGAATTCCGGGATCACTTGTAGTCAACTGCTCCGTTGTTTGTACGGTGAGTCTACCCACCTACTACAAAACTCATGACGCCGTGCAGCACCAAGGCGTGCTGCATGTGCAGGAAAGCAAGGTTAAGCGAAAGCTCCAGGGAGAGGTGGGGCAAACTCGCTTGCATGGGCCGTCGTTCGGAAAAGGTTTCAGGGGTTTCTATGGTTTTGGCAAGTTTGGGTACCTCTAGTGCTGACGGTCACGAAGTATTGTGATGTCACAAGGCTTGATCCGAATATATTCAAGACCGAACCATCATCAACCCCGGCTCACGGGACAAAGCATCACCTTGCACAAGCACCGGCGAGTACGCCCAAAAGTCATCGATGCACGCGGTGTGGACACACCATGCCTGTTGACGCGGACGGTCGGAATAGTCCGCCTCCACCCTTTCCCAAGGCGCATTAAGGCACCACAGGAAGAGGAAGTCAGCGAAGCTAATCGCGGGGACATTTGTTCGCATGCTGCAAGCATCCTCATGAAATTGATGTATTGCACGCGAATACAGTATGTGGTTTCGATCTTTTGCGCGGTATCAACAATTTGGCTTGCAAGATCACAAAACAGGCCGTGAAAGAGGATGCGCTCTAGCACCGTCTCATGGCCTGTGTGCACCAGTCCAAACATCACATGATGAGGGTTTGGGATGCTTTGGCGGCCTTATCCATTGGGCTGCTTGCGGATGCGGATTATGCAAGATGTGGTGAAAGCTTGAAGTCTTATTGGCGGGACCTCGCAAAAGGCAGGGGTGCTTCAGGCAGTAAAACTTGAGGCCGAGATTGTCGCAGCTGATCGAGCACGGTATGAGGTTCGTTGCATCAAGCACCGCGGAAGCAAGACGGAGACAATATTCCCTTCGCAGGCATTCTTGCGCTTGAGCTTAAGTATGAGGATGCGTCTTTGTGCATGGCTTATTTTTCCGGTCAAAATTGGCCTGCGCGTTGAAGAATAAGGACAATGCAACACACACGCTGTCCACGGACGCCGCTGGCGACGGGGACTCGCATGTTCGTGATCATGTAGCATCTGCCATGTATGTAAGGCAGTCTTTTTTTTCGGCCTGCTTCATTTTTCGTTCGTTCGTTCTCACTGGATCACTGTGGCATTCAGCGTTGCAGCCACGTCGGGCCTACCCCCAACCCAAAGACAATGAAAATCACGGAAGCTGAAGCTCCCACAGTTGACGACTCCTTGCGGACTGACTGTGGGGATCCTATTTGGTCTCCGCGCAACGAGTGACTTTTCCATCGAACCACGTGTCGATATCCTCGGTGGCAGTCGTTTGCCCCCATCCGGTGGGTTTGATTCCCCATCGTGTGTGGGTGCGTTCCGCCGATGGGGAACACATTTTACGGGCCTCACTGCTTATGACTCACCATCACTTGTTGCTGGTTTGTCTCAGGTTGCGGCTCATTTTGCCACGCCCGTGTCTCCCTTGACGCGCCCGGGACACCCGCAACCCGCGGCGGGCCGCAGCAGCTCGTCGTGTTGGGCTCGGAGGCGAACGCTGGAACGACCGGGCACGCGCGTTCGTGCGGGACCTCGTCCGGTTGAAGGGGTTGAAAGCTCACCGGGCCCCTGCCCACGTCCCGCGCACGGCGGCGCGTCTGCCGGCTGTGCGAGGCGCTAGTGGGGCATGTTGTCTGTAGCGGTGCAGCAGGCCGTCGCCAGCACGGGATTAAGCGTTTCGGAGCAGCCACTGCAACTGCAACCAGACACCTCCGCCGGCCCGCCCTGTTCCACCACGAGGCGCTAGAGTCGCCTGCAGTTGCGGCGCCTCACAGACTCGTCGTCCTCGCTGCAGACGTCGGGGGCCACTGGAGCGACGAGTGCGATTTCGTTTTGGCTCCGTGTCCAACGCGCCCCGCCACCCTTGTGCGCCTCTGCAGCCAAGGGCTGGGCGCGCCGCTCGTGGAGTGATGCTCTCGTGTTGGGTGACGTTTCGGACCTCGGCTGCAGCTTTGCGTAGCTTCGCTGACACCGCGTACAGGCGCCTGAAGGTCTGGGTAGTTTCCGACGGTGGGACACGCAAAAAAGTGCGAAAAAAATATATATTCCAGGATGCCAGATCTGATGATCACGCATGGAACAAGGCGCAAAAGTTTTCAATTCGCTAGAATATAGCTATGTGACTATGTGTTCACATAAAAATGCCTGCAAATGTTTTATGCAATGAGGGATGGATACTAGAAACATATAAGCTAGCGAAGCATGTTGGGATAATGCTGCAGCACTCGCTTTTAGAGGTCCAGCACGGCATCGCCACATGCCGTCATGTATATGGAACACAATCGCAACCGTTGTGCAAGTGGAACAGTATCGGAACCTGGCACGGACACATTAGAAAATAAGTAGCCATTTTGGCTCAAGCCATTTTGGCTCAAGGCTCAAGCTGAATTACAGGCTTGGAAGGAGCGACGCGGGGCCGCGCCCATGGCTCTGGTGACACTCGCCTCAGCCATACGATGGCTGGTACAGGTGGTGCGCCAGGCCACACCCGAGGTACTTCAACTTCCACGCTCCTGCCGCCAAGCCGCTCTCCACGCGGCCCTGACTTGCGCCGGCAGCGCCCCACAGTACTATCCGCCAGGGTGGGGGCCTTGCTCTCACTGCTGGGGGTGGTTGTGCGTTGGAGCTGCGCTGGGCGGTTTGCTTATGGCTGCAGGCTGGGCACACTTTGCCATGCGCCGTGCGCCCCCGCCCGCGTGGACGGCTGCTGCGGAAGAGATCCTTCGCTGCGTCGCGATTGGGGGGGAGCACGAGCTCGCCGCACTAGCGAATGCGGCCGGGCAGACACCCGAAGAGCTGTTGTGCCGTGTCCTACACGCCGCGACTTCGCCGCACACGCCCGGATTGCCCCCGCCGACACCCTTGTGCGCCGCGCCGCCCGCTCGCAAACGCCGGGGCTCGAGACTCTGAGCAGCGTGGGGCCCGCTCCAAAGGCGCCGGAAGGGAGTCGCGGGGGACTTTGCGACGCAGGGCATTATAACGGGGATGCCTTCGCACACGCCTTCGCAGGAGGCAACCTTGCCGCGCACACTAGCCCCCGCCACAGGGACGGCGAGGGTGGCAGGGCCAACGCCTCGGAAAGCAAATCTTTCACGCATCTTCACAGGCGGGTTCTACGGGTAAGAGCGGGGAGCCAACAGTGCAGAGCACTTCTTCCATCTTCTTCCCGCCCCTCGTTTCAAGACCCGCCTCAGCAGGGCTACGTGCAGAGTCATTTTATGCATGTGCGTGCCCGCAGCCATTCCAACTCGCAGCCATTTTTGCCTAGCCAGTGCCACCCCGCAGCCCCAGCATGGCAACGTGCCGCACGTGCCGCCTTCGCCCCGTCAGGCTGGACGAGGCACGCTGCCGCCCGTGCCAGGCAGTGGTGGCCGTCCAAGGCTTGGTGCACAGCCGGCGCTTGCCCCGTGTCATGGAGTGGCCAGTGGAGTCCTTGCTGCTGGGCGTGGTTTCGGCTCTCCGCGCCATGGCCTCGGACGAAGAGGAGCAACCGCCATCACCAGGCCCGGCACGCCTTGGCAGCCGCAGCCGAGACCGCAGTCGCAGCCGCTCCCGCGACAGCCGCTCCATAACCGGCCGCGAGGCCCGGCCCAGCGCGAGCATGGCTACAGGAGAAGGCGAAGGCGGCAAAGGCGGCCCGGCACCACGCCGCAGAGATGGTGGCGGAGCTGGCAAAGGCGGTGGCAAGGCGCTGGGCAGAGATGGAGGCCATGCCGGGCTCATCGAGGCCGCTGCCGAGCGAGCCGCCGAGGCGGCCGCTGCGGCCGTGCTCAACATGCACTGAGCGGCGGCCAAGGCCATACAGATGTCCGTCTCGAGTTTTTGTTTCTCTTTCAAAGGCTGCTACGTGCACACGGCGCGGAAGGCATGACCTTGGCATGCAGCTCCATGAAAAAGGCACGCCGAGCGCACAGGATTCGTCATGGGCAGGCCACTGCGCAGGCTCGAAGTCCCGCCTATTTACTTTCCGGCTGCGAGACGCAAGAGCGCAGGCGCAAGCAAACGATTCCGACTGTCGTCACCCGCCCCACCGCCATGCACACACCAACCACCAGTCCGCGAACGGCCCACCGACATCACCCGCGCCGCGGTAGACGCGTGGGCGAAGCGTCACACCCCGGCCCGCCGAACGAGCCAACCCTCGGCAGAACACGGGAGCCAGCGCACGCATCCGTCCGCCAACAGCGTGCCGGTGAGTTGCATGCGCTGGCTCAAATGAGGCTCCTGCCCGCGGCCCCACCGTCACCAGCCGCGAGCATCTCCGACACACTGGACGCCGATACACCTTTCGCTTCGCCGGCTGCCTCCCCACGACGCGGCGCACCTCCGGACGCGGGCGTGCCTGGGCGCGCAAGCGAAGCCGCGCCGCCCTTGTCAGGGGAGGCGACGCCAGGGTTCACGCCGCCGCAGTCTCCACACGACGAGCCGGCGCTGCCTTGGCAAGATGCCCGCCCGCCGAGCGTCAAGCCCGGCCTACGGTGCTCGTGGCTGTCCGTGCCGTTGCTACACGCTGGCGCCGGCCATGTCACTCACGCGGCGCTTGAGGCATGGCAGGCGCGACCGCGACTCGGAACTCGCTTCACGGAGCTCGCGTCATCCCTACGTCGTGCTGCTGGCGTGCCACCCCCGACAATCACCCGCCTCATGCGCGCAGCCGCGGATTGCGAACCACACGACACAGCTGCGCTGGCACCGGACGTCGCCCGCGCCACGCAGCAACTCGCCGCGCTTCCGGCAGAGGCCCCGTTGCCACTGCCGGCGGCAGTGCTGGTCTGCATGACGTCCGATGGTTATTTGAGCGCTCCCGCCCAGTCAGCTTTGCTCGAGGCTTACGGAGGCGGAGCCCTCGCGGCGGAGGCACAAACGCTCGCGGACGATGCGCGCGACAGCTTCGCTCCGAGGCCCGACCGTGCAGAGGACCAGCGCCATGGGCACAGAAGACCACGCCGCCGCCGCCGGCAGGCCCGACGCTCGCAAGCGGACAACGCCACAGCTGCGGACTCCGAGGCGAGCGCGGTTCCCACATGCCCGCGGCCACCCTGCACGGCGGAGGCGGAGGCAGCTTGGGAGGCGCTCGATGCGGTCGATCTGGCGGCCGAGCTTCGCCATCCGGCGCCGACGCTGCAAGATGTGCCACCGTTCTTGCGTGCAGCCGTGCGTGGCGCCCTCGTCAAGGCGCTCACCCGCTTGCACGAGGCGCTCGTGGAAGCTCAGGCTCGAGGCGTGGCTGCGAGTCGAGCATGGAAGCTCTTTGTGCTCACCCCGCGAATGCTGTTGGCTCGCCCCGAACACCAGGGTGCGCAAGGCCGGGCGACACTCCTCGCAAGGGCACCAGCATTCCAGCGCGGGGAGTGGCCTCAGCTGCTGGCAGCCGCGCAGCCTCGCCGACGTCCCGCAACGCCGCCCGAGCTCGACGCCGAGGTTTTAGCGGAACGGAAACGCGAACGCGCCTGTGCTAAAGTCCGCCAAGGCGAACTCTCCCGCGCCAGGCACGTCCTCACGGCGGCGGAGTTAGCTCCGGGCACTGAGGCCACCTGGACGGCATTGACCGATCCAGCCAAGCGCCCGCCCCAGGCACGCGAAGCGCCGCCACAACACTTGCTCCAATACCAACCTGAGCTGCCCGTCCGCCTCTCTTCACGTGCAGTGGCCGCCGCACTCCGCGAGGCTCGCCGGGGCGGGGCAGGTGGCCTTTCAGGAGGGCTGAGCACCTCAAGCTGCTGCTGCTGCTGCTGCTGCTGCTGCAAGACCTCGAGGCACTGGATTTGCTCACCGAGGCGGCGACGTCCCCTGCAGATGTCGCCGCTGGACTGGCCATGGCGCGGCTGACGGCTCTGCGCAAACCCGATGGAGGCGTGCGGGGCATCGCCACAAGCGACGTCTTTCGCCGTCTAGTGGCGAGGACGCTCGCCAAAGAGTGGGCTCATACCTTCGACCGAGCCACGCGCCCGTACCAGTTCGCGCTTCAGGCCCGCGCAGGCACGGACGCCCTAATTAGCCGCTTGCGCGCGCGCCGCTCTGTTCCTCCGCCCCGATGCCGTGCTTGTGTCGCTCGATGGCCGCAGTGCGTACGACTGTATGTCCCGCACGGCCTTCCTGACCAAGCTGCGCGAGGTCGCACCGGAGTTGCTGCCGTTTGTAAGGTTGTTTTACGGCCAACCGTCGCGGTACTGTTGGTGGGATGCTGCCGGCCGCTGCAGGGACGTGCCTCAGGGCGAGGGCTGCGAGCAAGGCGATGCTCTCGCTCCGGCATTGTTCGCATTGGGACAGCACGAGGCTCTCTGCCGAGCGGCAGCCGCGCTGCATCGCGACGATGCCCTCATGGCTTTCCTTGACGACCTCTACGACTCTACGTTGTTACGGTGCCCGAGCGAGCTCGAGCGGCCTTCGACAGCACAACTGGAGCCGTCGCGGCCCACTGCGGCATCGCGTCCAACCTTGGCAAGACCCGGGTCTACGCAACCGAGGCAGGTCCCCCGCCACCTGGCATATCGGAGCTGGGCGACGTGGTCTGGCGAGGCGACAAGCCGCCAGCTGAAAGAGGCGTCGTCGTCCTCGGCACGCCCATCGGGCACCCCGACTTCGTGAGCCAGTGGGCGGCGGAGCGCATGTCGGAAGAACGCCGGCTCCTGCAACAGCTGCCCTTGCTCCCGGACCTGCAGTGCAGTTGGCTCCGGCTCTCCATGTGCGCAGCCCCTCGAGCAAACCACGCGCTTCGTACGCTGCCCCCGTCTGAATCGCTCGGGTACGCGCAAGCGCACGACGCGGGCATTTGGGAGACGTTGCGGTCCTGCATGGGCGGCTTCAGCGAAACCGACTCGCTTCACGCGCGGTCCATCGCCACCCTGCCGGCCGTGCACGGCGGACTGGGCCTGCAATCCGCAGAGCGCGCAGCCCCCGCGGCGTACTGGGCGGCCTGGGCGGATGCGCTGCCCGTGATCAATGCTCGCGCGCCCGAGTTCGCACGCAGATGCCTCGCAGCACTCGAGAGCCGCGGCGGAGAAGCTGCATGCCTTCGCGAAGCGGCGGCGGCACGGGATCTTTTGCAGCAGGAAGGATGGCGCGACTGCCCTGCCTGGAGCTCTCTCCTGCAAGGCACGCGCCCAACCCCGGCAGACGACGCAGGCCCCGGGGACTGGCCACATGGTTGGCAGATGCACGCTTCGCGCACTCGCAACAGCCACTTTCGCGAATGCGTGCTACTGCCAGACATGTCGCCCAGTTCTCAGGTGCTTCTGCGGTCCCAGGCTGGGCCACAGGCGGGCGCTTGGCTCGCAGCGATCCCCACTGAGCCGGCCACAACGCTACCACCTGCCGCGATGCAAATCGCCTTGCGACGGCGGTTGCGGCAGGTGTTGCCTCTGCGAGGGAGTACTTGTGGCCCGAGTCCCGGGTGCGGCGCAGTTGTTGACGCCCTCGGTGACCATGCGCTTGCCTGCCCCCGCACGGGCCTGCTGGCCAGGCGGGCCAAGGTCGTAGAGCGAGCGTGGGGCCGTGTCGCGAGAGAGGCGCTGGGGGCTGAAGGGCAGGTCGTGCCACAGCAATGGTTGGCCCACACCACGGCGCCAGGCGTGGCAGCAGAAGACAGGCGCCGCCTCGACCTCGTCGTGTACGGCGCGACACGCAGTGGCGGAGCCTTGTGTTGCGACGCTACGCTCGTGTCTCCCTTGACGCGAACGGGACACCCACAGCCCTGTGCCGCGGTGGTCGACGGAGCAGCACTCAGGGTAGCCGAACGCCGGAAGCTCACTACCTACCCGGAGCTTTCCCGCGGCGGGCCACAACAGCTCGTCGTCTTGGGTGCGGAGGTGGGCGGACGCTGGAACGAGCAGGCTCGCACTTTCGTGCGGGACCTCGTCCGGTTGAAAGCTCACCGGGCCCCGCCCACACTCCGCACAGCGGCGTCAGGTGCTTGGGCGAGGCGCTGGTGGGGCATGTTGTCTGTGGCGGTGCAGCAGGCCGTCGCCAGCACAGCCTTGGGCGGCTGGGTGCACCCCCTGCAGCCCGAAGCCTGCGATGGCCCACCGCTGGACACCCTGTTCCACCATGAGGCCCCCGCCAGCCAAAGCCGCCTGCCGTTGAGGCCCTGAAAAGGGGCTGTAGCGTAGTCTGTGTTCTGTCGGGTAGCCTAGTCAGCTGCGATCGCGCTGCAACCGTTTTCGCTCGGCAGCTGGAAAAGTCCGATGCAAAAAAAATAAATAAGTTAGCTGAACGACCAGTTAGCAAGACTGCAAGACCCGTCTACCCCCCTGCCGATTCATGTCGAACGCGCCCGGGCATCAAGATGTCATCGTTCAACCGCAGGATCGGTCCACTAGGTCGACGGTTTAGCAATTCAAGTATAACCATGTGAGCCGGCCTTGTATCGCTGGGTTCCTTACATGTTGCCTAGTTCGCTTCCTGGGTATATTGTGTTTTTGGTGACTGTGCACAAGCACTCCCTCGACCAATGTCGGGAATCCACAGCACATAATACACAAAGGCTCAATAAGCAACAGAACAGCGAGAACTTTCACATTTCCAGGCTGTCGTGGGCGCGGCGGCCCCTTCCTGCAGCGATTCGTGGAAGCGGTACGCCCTTCGCGTGTGTCAGCTGTTTGAGTCCGACTGGCGGTGTGAGACGTGAGATATGGTTGGCGAAAGGCCATGGATCAGGATCCCGGGATCATCAAGGCAGCTTCTGCATCTGGCAGTGTGTTGGTGCGAGGATTGTGACAATGCAGGTCTAGACATACACATTTGTGTATGCGTATATATAGACCCACATATGTACACATACAAACATATAAACATACAGACATAGACGTGCAGACATGCATACACATATACATATACATATACATATACATATACATATACATATACATATACATATACATATACATATACATATACATATACATATTATACATATACATATACATATACATATACGTATACGTATACATATACATATACATATACATATGCATATACATATACATATGCATATACATATACATATACATATACATATACATATACATATACATATACATATGCATATGCATATACATATACATATACATATACATATACATATACATATACATATACATATACATATACATATACATATACATATACATATACATATACATATACCATATACATATACATATACATATACATATACATATACATATACATATACATATACATATACATATACATATACATATACATATACATATGCATGCATATGCTGCATATGCGCTCCCCCCCCCCCCCCAAGATCCAGCTTTCCCTGTCGCGAGGTGCGCCGTGGGCTGCTGGCAGCTCCGAGGGCCGAGGGATATGGTCGTGAGTTTGTGGTTTGGGATTTGGGGTTTAGGGAGCCAACTCTTGAGACGCAGGCAGTAGCACAGGAATCTGCAATGTTTGGGGAGCTGCTGTGATTGAGCATCACAGCTCACAGCCCATCAGCGGCTTGCCCACTGATCGGCAGACGTTTTGTATCAACGAAATAGTCGGACAGATGTGACGTCACGAAACTGACCGGTTGATGTTGTGGGACGTGGCACTACCTTCATGATTGAGCCGGGGAGTTTCGGCTCGCATCTGTTGATGTAACTGTGCTGGGGCTATGGTCATGGTGTCTTTAAAACTCGTGAAATGGAACCTTTGTCCGGACGCAGTGTTGCTCATCCATGAGTTTGCAAAGAATACCACCCCGGTCCCTATACCCAGAGCACCACGGCCACCACTTCGGATCGGCAAGTTAAGTGACGGAGACGCGGCTTTGTTTATAGCAAAGGCATACCACATATAATGAGAATAATTGTTGGTACACAACCTATGGGGCTATTTTTTGAATACACAATGCACCCAAACACGGATGTTCTGTCTTTGAGAACGACGACGGCGTCTTGTACAAGGTAACTCCATGGCCGGACACTGTGCCTGAGAGACTTCTCACGACTGCGGAAAGAGCTGAACTTGGCATGTAGCTGTTAAGGCCTTGTCTTGTCCGGAGCTACTGCAAAAGCACGAGCTCGCTTTCCAATTTCCTCAGTAGATGGCCATCAACCGGTAAGCCTCTGCAGTGCTAAAACGTGTTTCGGCGTTGCTTCTCACAGTTAGTTATCGCTTGCGCCCCAAGACCTGCCAGCCCTTTCCGAGCATTCTGTTTGCTGTTCAAAGTTTTTTGATTTCCTAGGCCCTACACTTTGCGTCGCAATGGCCAGCAGGGCTCCACATCGTCCAGTGTCTCTGGCACAGTCCCTGCACAATGATGCATTGGACGGTGCCATTACCTTTGATGAGGCAATCTCCGACACTGACGGCCTCAAACTTGTTCGCCTGGAGAAGCCCCTCATTGTACAAAAAGAGCCGGGCTGCATCACGGTCGGAAATCTTCCGGCCAAGGATGAGATCACGGATGAGTTAAAGAAAAAGGTGCAGTTCCTGGATGTACTCATGAACTGGGAGGGTGAGTTGGATTTCAAGAAGATCGAAGAGTTGTTTTTCCAACAACGCTACAGTGATCTCCCACATCCCATCCGTATGAATGGTCAAAACGAAACGCCCTACGACATGCAGGTTTTCATCGTTTCCAAAGGAGAAAACAAGTGGGATATCGTCAAGCACATTAAGTTCGCTGAAGGGTCAAAAGTGCTGCACAGCACTATCCGCAGCATGTGCACAGGGAGGGCCCTCGAGATCGACTATTGCAAGCAGTGCCGAGAGGGCGGTCGTGCTCTGCAATACCTTCTCGAGGCCATGGGCGGTTTCCAGGTACGTTACCAAAAGCTAATTCCAGCTGGTAGCTCCACCAAACCGGTGGAAGAGACAGGATATTCGGAAGGGGTTTGCTTTCATCCGTGAAGCAGGGCCGGAAGAGAACAGTGACGGTCAATTCACTTCTTGGACTGAAGAGCAGGTGAATGATCCCAATGGGCCGCTTTTCAAATGGGACAAGGGAACCATCATGGAGTTCCTGCGCTGCCTGGCTGACAAAGGCTCGCAGGCAAACACTATCCAAGATTGGCCCCTCACACTGAAGAGCTTTACCCCGTGGGCCCTCAACACAGTCTTCGCACCCATCTTGCCTCGCATCCTGGAGCACGCAGTCATGCTGATTGGCAAGTCAGAGGTCGGCAAGAGCCCGACGGCTTACACCCTGGCGAACTTGGCTTCTGCATTCTAGCTCCTTCAGAAGGGTCGTGAACATGGGTAGCCTACTGTAGTTTCGGCGGACAGGTAGACGGACCCTCGGGAGCCGTGCAGGCGTAAAAGTCCGAGGAAAAAAAAAAAGAAGCCATCATTCCAAAGCTGCAACCACCTGGACTATTTCCGAAAGGAGAGAGGCCGCACAACAAAGCCAAGAGTCTTCGACGATGGCAATTTCAATTTGGAGTTTCCGGCCTCGGGCAAAGCTGTCACAGAAGTGACAGGCTTTGACAGGAAGACTATGGCCCGCTGGAACGCTTCTTCGTACGAGAAGAACCAGCTTTTCGTCGTCTGCTCCAACCCCTACGACCGATCAGCTGAGCCCGCCTTGCCGCCCCAGACAAACAGCGACACGGTGATCACGGTGTCCTTTGAAGTCTTCTACAAGCTTGTCAGGCCCTCTTTCCAGAAGGACTTTGACGAGGAAGACTTGATGGGTGTCTTCAAACGCTCGGTCATGATCGTCTTCACTGACATCGGCATCTATGTTCGCTCGCCCGGCACACACGGCGACCCCATCAAGCGTGTGGCCTGGCCCGACGAAGATTTTGGGGTAGTCTCTCTCACAGCAAGGCCTACACTGTCCGCTTACCTGAAGGGCAACCTGCAACAACTCCCACCAAATCATGCGGGGGACATGCAGTGGAGTTTGAATCTTCTTCAGGCGGCCCTCGACGGAGAAGAAGTGCCCCTCTGCTACACGGTGACAGGCAAAAAATTCTCCACCGGGAAGAAGTACCTCAATGAGGTTCGCCCTGATACGGCAGGGATTTCTGGCAGTACCACCACTACTTCGAGGACATCCCTGAGTCAACTCAACCACCCAGAAGAAAGCTCCGGTCTGTGAAATCGTCCAGCTCCCTGCTCGCATCTTCCAACACTGCACCAACAACCGCAGCTGCAGCGTCGTTCGTGGCAAAGGACAAGGACACGGTAAGGTCATCGTCTTCTACCGACACTTTCATGCCGGCCCCTTGCTCAGTCTAAAGGGAAGGTTTAGGGTTCGTCGAAACATTAACAGCTTCATAATCTGTGCCTATCACATGCCACATCACAGCCTAAACCAGCTTACGCCCAACATTTGAAAAACGCTTCTTCCGTTTTGTATGAGGTGCGTGTGAAGAAAGAGCCCACGGACGCCTTGCAGAAGTCCATCGCCTTCAAGAAGAAACTCGGCAGCCGCACGTTGCAAATCAATCTCTCCAGCTCATCAGAGAAGGAGGACACGAAACACACGTCGTCGCCTCTCCACGCCGAGATCAAGCAGTCCCCGCCCCATCCGGATTCCACCGCTGATGGATTCTTGCCGTCGCCAAACACACATGCAAAGGCAGGAACTTCTGCAGTGGACTTCACGAATGATGAGATGGATGTTGTCTCCAACACTTCTCAAGTGGATCCAATGAAGGTTCTCCCGGACGACCACGATCTTGAAGCAGAGAATCTCGGCATGACCTTCTCACAGCAGCTCGATGACTTCGTGGACAACATGCCGTCAGAGTGAGCCTCACGAGCACGATGACTGCAGCCCTCTCCTACTGAGTCCTACTGATCGCAGTTCGCACAATAGCTATGCTACGTGCCTAGTTTTGATTCCCGGTATCCAAAGAGTAGCTGTTTTGTTCACGGGCTACTTCTCACCACAAGCTCGATCGCAGGCTCAAAACGCCCACATTTCTGATGCCAAACATGTTGCGTGCAGCACACGTCCCTTGCCTTCTCTCCGTGTTGATTTGATGGCAATTTGTCAAGTAGCCTTGCTGCATCAAGGAACCGTTTCACAAGAACTCTTGTCATCATGCCCAAGGCGGTCATGAAAGCCATGAAGGCAAAGCCTCCTTTCCCTGCTCCCAAGCGAGGAAAGCATCGCGTCCAGAGACGCCCCGCTTCCAAGAGCTATGTTCCCGTGCCATATGTTCGCTACGGCATCCTAACGGCCAAAAACAAAGGGTTTCGCCAGCGATGGGGGGACTCCATACAGCACCTCATGTCACTGAAAGGCCGCCGACGGATCACACACCTTCAGAAGGATAAAATCTTGCCCAGCTGGCAGGGTCGCCAGTGCCCTCGCTGCGCCAAAGGCGTTCTCGGGACACTCAACTATGTCAAGGCTAAGAAGATTTGGGCCTACCGATGCAATCACAAGCACTGCCACAAGTTCTTGCAGCCGCACGACTACCATCCCGTCTTCTTCATGTCTGCTGGGAACTCGTCAACGTCTCTTGGCAAACAGGCTGCAGTGCTGTATTGTGCAACAGCCAATGTCCCCTGCCAGTCTACCCACTTGATCCTTGACATGGACCACAAGCCCGTGGAGCGCATCTACACCAACCTAGACGTCGCCCGTGCTCAGTACGTCGTCCAACAGGAGAAGCAGATCACCTACGGTGGCAATTGGGAGGATGTAGAGGTGGATGAAGTCGATCTTGGCAAGCTCACGGACGAGTCCTTAGGCCCACGCAACACGAAGTGGGAACAGTGGGGCGGACTAGTTCAGAGAGGCTGTCCATCGTCGTTGTGCTTGTTTCGCTTGAACCCGAAGCTCACCACAAAGCGGGCGCCGGGTCCTGGCCCAATCAAGAAGGTGGACGGCTGTTATTGCTAAAAAACACCTCGCCAACCGCAAGGTGGTTTTGCACAGCGACGGCGCCCGTGCCTACACTCTCAAGATCCCGCAAGTGAAGCATTGCAACGTCGTCCACAAGAAAAAGAAGGTTACCATCAACGGCAAGGCTCGGTGCTCACCATTTTTACTCTTGATTCAATACATGTCCTTTCAGCTGCATCCATGAATCGTTTGGCCCCTTGTCTTCTCCATCAGGCACAGTGGGTCAAGCCCCACTACACGAAGGTTTACACCGTCACACTTCCAGACCGCCGACGGCTGAAGGTGAAAAGCGGGACGCAAGTCATTGACCGTTTCTGGGGAACTTTGAGGACCGTCTGAAAGAACTCATCCCGAGTCCCAGGTAGCCAGCAACTCGTCCGGAAGATCCGGTCGGCCCAGTTTACATACTGGAACCGCAATTCGAACATGTGGAAGGCCACAGGTCGAATGCTCCACTCTCTCTTTCAGATCAACTGAAAGACCGCTCCCTTGCGATGATTTTGAGCGCTCTCATCTCACGTCTTGTCGCGAAAGCAAAACAGCAAGGACCTTGCGTGTTGTTTGCATGTGCAATACTGCAAAACATCACTCGCAGAAAGTCCTCTGCCGCAGCTTCCAGCCTCAGCCTCCCTTCATAGCCACCCGTTGACTATCTGCAGGCCAAAATAGGGACAGTACAGCACTTCTGCAGTCCGGACAGGCTAAAGTGCTGTACTGTCCCTATTTTCTCGTCCCCAGGCAAGCAAAAAATAGGGACAGTACAGCACTTCTGCAGTCTGAAGAGGCGAAAGTGCTGTACTGTCCCTATTTTTTGCTTCCCGGTACCAATAAAGTGCTGTACTGTCCCTAAAAAACCTAAAAAACCAATCTTTTGGGAACCACCGGGGGCTCCAGGGCTGGTAGTGCTGGGAAGATTGGTTTTTTATGTTTTTTAGGGACAGTACAGCACTTTATTGGTACCTGCAAGCAAAAAAATAGGGACAGTACAGCACTTCTGCAGTCCGGACAGGCGAAAGTGCTGTACTGTCCCTATTTCATGGGTTTCAGGCAAGCCATATTCGCACTTCGCAGACACACACACACCACACACACCACACACACACACACACACACACACACACACACACACACACACACACACACACACACACACACACACACACACACACACACACACACACACACACACACACACACACACACACACACACATCGCCATAAGAACTCGGTAACACCAGAAACCAACCACCGGATCCTGGTAGTCTATTTTTTGGCATCTGCATGCACGTATCGTTGCAACAAAGAAGTCTGAAACAATCGTTTTAAGAGGAAAACCCTCGGTATTTGCAGTGTTTTCTGCATCTGCATGTATAACAAAGAGTATAGACATGGAGTGACACGAGTATGAAAAACCTTAGGGGTGGATCTTGGGGGGGGGGGGGGGGGCGACCATATACATATACATATACATATACATATACATATACATGTACATGTACATGTACATGTACATGTACATGTACATGTACACATACACATACACATACACATACACATACATATACATATACATATACATATACATATACATGTACATGTACATATACATATACATATACATATACATACCTTTTCCCATTTTCTGTATGCATACTTGTGTAAGTGGGTATGCATGTATGTGTGTACGCATGTATGCATATCCATGTATGTATGCATGTATGTCTTCAGGTCGGTCTGTCTGTCTGTGAGTTGTTTTCGTGTACGTCTGTGTATTTGTATACAATTAGGCATTTACTGGGGTGGCTGCCCGAATGTATTCGTCGCGTTTCTGTCTTTACCCCTTGACCCCATAATTTCCTGATGCATTGACAAGGTATTTGGAAAGGCATGTGTTTTTCTTTGTGACGCTGGTATTGCATATTCAGATAACCATCGTTCGCATAGCGTCTCTTGGGAGTGATTTACCTTTTATTTGCAACACTCGGTGTCGAACCTGTGTGCATTTAGGTCGCACCTAAACATGCACTCGCGCTTCACCCGGTCTCTTTTGGCAAGCGTCGTGCGACGGAGTCGGCTGTGCGAGTACGTTAGCTCTTCTAGCGTAGTGCTGTATCACTTTGCGTGCATCACATATTCACGCAGAGATGCACATGGATTGCATTGTATCCTCATTTGGTTAGCGCGGTGTGCCTGTACGGTTACTTCGAGAGCGTCTGTCTTCCTCACCAGTGCACTTCGTTTGCATTTATTGACATCGCGGAAATGCGGAGTGTTGCAGGCATGAGGGCTCAGGCGGTTTGAGCTTCCGGTTGGATGGACTTGTGTGCCAGGTTTCTGTAAAATTTCATGTGCGGCGCCCAGAAGTTGAGGTCTTATGCCTGTGTGTGTGGCACGAACCATGAACGCTAGAACTCCCCCCCCGACCCCGCTTCCATCACCACTTACCCAGTTCGCCAAGACGTCCTCCCTGTCTGTGTTTTCCTCCCAGCCGACCCCTATTAAAAGGGGTCGAGTTTGTTTCTTTTGCCCGTCCTTTCCTACGAGGAAACGTCGTCGGAGAGGCCTATGCCTGCTCAGATGAAGAAGTTGCCAGGGAAGGACGACAAGGCCCCATCCTGTTAGGGTGAAACTGAGTCTGTTTACGCTTCGGGCCCCAGGTTTTTGGGTTGGGAGTCTGCGAGGGGGTTCATGGCTTCCTTGCAGCGCCCAGGTCCCCACCATCTTCGTGAGGGATCTTCGCAAGAGCACCACGAATCTCCAGGTCGTGAGCTACTTCTCGAAGTTCGGCAAGGCCGTTTAAGCGGTTAGGGAGGGAGTTGGGACGCAGTGGGAGGCAATGGACTCAATAGAAGATGAGAGGAAGTCTCCCCCGGTTGCAAGTGGACAACGTGGACATCAAGCGGCTACCGGACACGACTTCCAGAGGCTTCGCCTACGTGAAGTTTGCCGACCGGAACTCGGTCGAAAAGGCCGCCTTTTCTTTCGCCACTCCCTCTCCGTCGCTCCTCCTTCCTCGTGCTTCGCCTCTGCTCTCCCACTCCCCAAACGAAGCTGATGCTTTCAATCAAGCTCCCGAGCCTTAGGATCCTGTTTACAACCCTGGCATCTACAGCCTACAGCTCCGATCAACGCCTGGGGTGGGGTGCGAGGAAAGAGCGACCTAACATTCCATGCCGCTGAACCAATGCCTTGAGCCGCAACCCTGAAGTCCCGTTGCGGCCCCTCATCTGATACCTGGAGGTGCTGGCGACCAGCCACTTCATCGACAGCAAAAAGGAACAGCCGGCGCATTCAACATTGTTGGTTCCTGAGTTTCAGAGCTTCGATCCACACTTGCTGATCGATGGGTTCAGAGCGTGGGCAGTGTAGGCCCCTTGGGTGAAGGAACGGGTTTGGAGGTCTGGAGTGTTTCAGGCATGAGGGCTCAGGCAGTTTGAGCGGGGACTTGTGTGCCAGGTTTCCGTAAAACTTCACGTGCGGCGCCCAGAAGTTGAGGTGGCGTTGAGGTCTTGTGCTTGTGTGTGTGTGTGTGGCTCGAACCATGAACCCTAGAATGCCACCCAGCCCCGCGACCCCCCTTCCATGACCACTCCCCATAGACTGAACCCTACCCATGAACCTGACCATGACCGCCTTAGGCCTCCCAAGGCCCGGAGGAGGAATGCAGAAACTCCTAAGGCAGTTTGAAATGTTTCAAAGGTGATTGGGATCATGCTTCAGCGGCCTCAAGCATTGCGCCCCAAACCTCATGCCAAATCTCCCACGCTTCCTGACTCTTTCTGCTGGTTGTCCCAAGGCCTCTGGTACGGTGAATATGTCCGATGCCGCAAGCAGCACACAGGCCAGCCCGGAAATCATGAAGTTCCGGGAGTGTGGCTAGCCCTGCAAGCTCCTAGTTCGAACATGGCACAAACAAAGCTTCAATCCTTGGACACAACTTCATTCAGCATATAGCAACTTCGGATCCAGCGATGTCGGGGTTTCGGGTTTACGGGTTGGTGTTTAGGGTTTCGTCCATGCAGAGTGTCGGGAGTCTCAGCTCTTGGGTTTTTATAGGTTTGTGTACTGGCCCTATGAAGGTACTCAAGACGTCCTCTTGAAATGATCGCTTGAAGATAAACAACAGCAGCACTGAGCGAATGGAGTGGAGGTCCTCACAACAACGATCCTGCCAGTCCCTTGATTTTCGGACATTCACCGTGCTTGTAGCGCTTCCCTGCTATCTTCGTAGTATGCGGTTGTTCACAAAGCTCTTTGTTACAGTCGTGTTAAAGCCCCCGATTCAGGGGCCTGAATAATTGGTAAGACTAATGAACGTCGCCACAAGAAGACCGAGGACTGGTTCACCGCGTGGGTTTGGGTGCGACACCACCCGTTGCCGGGCTAATGGGGTAGGGTTTAAGGTTTACTTGGGTTTGGGATTTGGGGGTTGAGGTTTCATCATCGTCATCATCATCGCGGGGATTATGCAGGGGCCAGGATAACAGACATCATCAATTTGTATTTTACATTTGTGTATATTGGCCATCATCACCATAATCCTATTAACACCATAATGTGGTTATCAGTAATTAAGATAATCAACAGTAGCAGTACAATATATCCAACAGCAGATAAACAACGGTAATAAAACTATAATGTATGAACAGTTCCGAAACAGTTCTAACTCGACATTTCCAGCTGGACCCCATCACCTGTCGGTTTGAACGTTAGGGGGCCCAGCAGTTTGAAACAGGGGCCTTAAGAATTAATATAACCACCGTATGTGTGTATGGTGCAGCTCAGCTGAAAACAAACTGTTTTTCTTAAACGTTCCATACTGGACAATAAAGGCTAACCATAAAGCTGTGGATCCAGAGTATAGTACCTTGTATGCACCCCTAGTTCAGGTAGGCTGAGATATTGCGCATTTGCTGTTTTCTTTCAGAGATTCTTATTTACGAATAACGGTTGGCAGCCGTACAGCCAACCTGGTTTAGGTGTAGGGTTGATATCTTAAACCTTAATCCCTTCGGGATTCACGGCCAGTTATTCTAGAGTGGAGTGGAGGGGGATGGGGACCAGATCGATATGTTCGAAACTCTTTATCCCGAGACAGTTATTTGAACTCCAAAGTAGCAGATTCTCAACCCGTAAAACTTCTCTTGGGTTCCCGCTGCCGGGTGTAAGGTTTTTCGGGGATGCAGCACCGAACCCTCACAATGGGGTAGAGGGGAAACCAACTTAGGACAAGATATGAGGCGATGACGGAGTGCTTTAACGGGCTCCATGAGAGGTTGGCTATAAGGGCCGAGCATGGGGGCTTCTGGGCCATGAAACCATGAAATGCTGTTGCCAGGTCGTGCCTTCTCCAGGAACGTGGCCTTTGACGAGCTGGGTGCGCCATGCGGGGAAAATGAAACGCAGTGCAAGAGGTTCGCAGTGCCTCATCTTGTCATCGGAATGTTGGCAACAAGACCATTGTGCCAGACCCTAAGACTCAACTTTGAACCATTGCAAACGGCTCCTTAAGGATCTGTGCGCGGACGGATTGAAAGTTTCGTCCGGCTTCCGGCGGAATGTGCATGCAACAACACAGCAGGCCCGCAATTCCCATCCCTTCGCAAAGCCTTTGTGCGGAGCAGCTTGCAGTGATTCTACTTCTGCACGGACACCCGTATGCCTTCTGCTACCACTACCAGCTCGCCCACCTTACCCGCCCGCCCACATGTCAAATGCCTACGGGCCGCTTTTTCTCAGGTTGCAGCCGTTTGTCGTCCAGAACTGTTTCTCCATGCTTTTCTAAAACAAGAGGCTTTTGGGCTTTGCTTTCACAACAGCGACACAAGAAGAAAGACACATCACTGAGGGCGACCCTTCGATGAGCGTTTACAACTGCTTGCGCCACTTTTGAGGTAAGTTCTCTACAAAACATGAATTCGGGAAGGTGGCGCCTGTATTGCAGATTACAGGGTGCCTTGCCTGTGCGTTTGACGGTTCAAATTTGAAGGAGAACCGGAGATGAAGTTGATGTGACATTAACGCATTACTATGCATTACTGCACGCCTGGAAGGCACCAGTTGTGACTCATGGCAGTCCCCGTGTGTAATTCTGAAGAATGCATTCGCAGCCTGGGACCGAACTGTTCTGTAGAAGAGACCTTCGGCATGCGTGTGCCGAGGACATTTGTCACTTGCTGAGTGAAGTTAGTCTATGCCGGTATCATTCGAAGCTCATGAGACGTGTTTGTGCAGAACACCAGGATGTGGATGTTTTCATCTTTGTTCGTCCTTCTGTGGCCGCGACTTGTCCGCATGGATTGACGATTCATTGCCGCATGACATGCGGCATGCTTCCATGTGATTTGCACAGCTAGCGACATCAGGATGGCATATGCAAAGCCACTCTTGGCGCTTCAGCAATCATTAATGATGCATTCGGGGACGCCCACGGATTCTGTGCCGGATGACTGCAGCCTCGATGCCCAGAAGCGGTATCGGCAATCCATCGAACTGCGAGCACGCCATCTTCAAAGGATGTCCCACACGCAGGAGAGGATCCCAGATGCAGTGAAGTCAAGGATTTTGTCTTGTTGCTGTTCTAGAGGTGCAAGAGAACTTCCGACAGAGCGGATGTCGTGCAGATATTCAGCTCACAACGAAGGAAGTTGAACGATCTGTATGTGGAGCTCATGGGATCCGATCGCATTGGCATGGAGGGCTCTGACGGAACTTCCAGCTTCGACGCCATGGAAGCGCGAAGCCAAGATACCGACTCGGTTGAAGTGTGATGCTTCCGACGGGTTAGTAATGTTAGTATGCTTACAAGTATCTAGCAGCCATGCTTGCTGGGTTTGTTCTCCACGAGTTTCTCACCACCCGATAGAAGAGAGCAAGCTGGTTGATCGGTGCAGGCAGCATTGAAGAAACGACAAGCAGAACTTGATTGGCTGCTTGAGACAACGGAAGCTGCGATCTCACGTCGCTTTGGTGACAGCTAGTCGAAGGGTTCCAGGGAGAGGTTTGCATGTGGTGCCAGTAGCAGCCGCCATACCCCACGACCTGCATGTGGGACACCGCTGCCGAGGCAAACGCGCTGCAGTTGCCATCGGGACAGAGAGCCCGTCAGCCCAAAGCACAGTTCCAGATGTGAAAAGCTCTTGCATTGCAGAAGTTTGACGCCGTGTTTGCACCACACGTCCAGTAACTTGCTATGTATTATATCATCCATTGTGCAGAGAAGACCTTGCTCTGTCCTATCCAGGAAGTCAGGGAAGGTTCCAGGCTAACGTAGCAGGGAACTGGGGAAGACAAGACGTCGGCTGCTTAGGTTCACCGATGAGGAAGCCGGAAGAGTTGGAAGCTCTCAGGAGCCCAAGTTAGGGCTTCTTGCATTCTAAGAGGATGCACGCTTGCAGAAGAGGACACCGGTTTGCCCATTTCCCGTTGTACGCTTCTATAGATTGTGCCTGGTCACCCGGTGCTATGCCCATGTGCACGACAAGCGTGCAAGGGCCGCAGTGGGACACCAGCTTTCATTGCAAACCAGCACGTGCCCGATGCCGGCCAGAGTGGAAATGAAAGCGAGCACATGGCATTCTCAGTCTCCATGCACAGACAGACGGGTCGATGAGAGAGCATCCCCCAGCGTTGAAGTCGATTGGCACGTGTTTTCTTGGCTCAAGCTGATCCGTGGCCCCTGGGTGTAACAGGAAGGGCAGAATGAAGGTGGTGCGCGATTCGAAGTTTAGGCATGTCTTTGGCAATGCCGCTGGGCTCGAAGATCACAAGTAGGCTATGCTCGCATTGCCTCCTTAAGAGTTGGGCCCGTCACCATTTGCCAAGCGTGGCCCGCCAAAGTGGTAGTCCGCAGTTTGCGGGACCCTATCCGGTATAGCTGCAAGGGTCCTACGGACGATCATTTAGGAGCTTTCAGGAGTGAAGCAGATTTTCGAAAGTCTGGTTTTGTGTTTGCTTCCGGGCTCCCGGAGACCTGGGCCGAGGCCACCAAGGAGAGCTTTCAGGACCTCCGCCTGTCTTCCAAGCCCTTGGAGACCACGGGCATTCGTGGCAGCTTGGCGAGTCGAGCAGGGTTCTGCACCTCTGAGTTTTAGCTGCAGCTGGTCATGTTGGGCCGTCATGGTGGTTGCAAGGCAATTCGAAGTTCGTGTGCTTCCCATGGGAGTCCGGTGGCGGTGGCACTTTAGCAGCGAACCGGGCAGCAATATATTTTCAAGATCTGTATGTCTTTCCCTGCTGAGCCATACCGTGCCCAGCTCCCTTCTGAACGCTGGCGCCTCCTGTCCTGACGGCTCGCTTGCATGTGCACTTGTCGCCTGCAAGCCCTCAAGGTACTCGTACAAGAATCACGTGCCCAATGTAAGCCTGTGGCAGGAAGCAAACCACGGACTTACTTGTAGTTCTTAGTTGTGGCGTGTGGTTTGGAATTCGGGAGCGGTGAGGGCTTGAGCTTGAGGTGATTCCTGCGACGCAGTTCGGCCGATTGCCTCGGGAGACGCCGCTCGTGGCCGGTCACACAGGAGGCGAAGCATAGCAGCCGCAGGGGCCATCGATTGCCAGCGTGTTTGTGGGCCTTTCTGTCCGCCGCAGGCATTATGGACTTCGAGTTCAGCCCCTTCGACGACCACCTCCTGCTAAGTGCCAGCGAAGACTTAACCATGAAACTCTGGCAGATCCCAAGCGATGGGCTCAAGCAGCACCTGAAGGACATACTGCGTATAGCCGAAGAGCCGAAGCTTTCTCAGTTCAATGCATTTGTCACGGAGGATCCGCTGCTGACGCTGGAGGGCCATGGGAAGAAGGTGGCTGCCGAGGGGCACTGTCTGTTGATTCCACGGCGTAGACCTGCTGTTGCATCACAACTCAGATTTATGTGGTGAAATTTGCGAGGTCTCCTTTAGCACCTTCAACCCCTGCGCATCGAATATCGTGGCCTCCACCGCCTTCGACCTGACCTGCAAAGTGGCGGCTGCCGCACGAAGTCTTTCTTGGGGCCGCACGAAGTCCTATTGCCTTGGGGTCCTTCTGCCGGATGTGGCTTGGGGATTCCAGAATGAAGGGTTCGTAGCAAGGTAGCAGGCCGTGCGGCATCTTCACGCGACGAGCTTACAGGGTCGCCTTGAGGTCTGGAATCTCACGGAGCAGGAGGCATCCTTCAGCATCCCAGTGCCGGAGCAGGTCATGCACATCAAGTGGAACTACACCGGTTCCCTGCTGGCCGTGACCTGCAAGGACACCCCGCATGTTTGCCACGGGCAGGGCTACAACCTAGGACTAGGCGCCTGGCCGTGCCCAGCGCAGAGCACCTCGGTATGATACGGCAGGCAAGGCTGGTTCCGCAGTGGCTCCCGTGAATGCGATACAGTCTGCCACCCACAGGACAAGAAGCTCCACATCGTCGACCCCAGGCAGAGCAAGACGCTCGGCCATTGTAGTGCGTGGGGAGAGCTATGTATAGACTTGTAGTCAGGTTCCGGAAGTTCTAGCAACGGAGAGAACGACTGAAGAGAAGTTCCTCATCTTGGCCCCTGACAGCTTGAGCAAAGCTGCTCAATTTCCGAGAAATGGATGAAACCTACTTGTAGGTGCCCATTTTGCAACTCATCGATCCACCCGCGCAACTAAGGATGACGGCGGCTTGCAAAATATGCGATGGCCCAAAGCCGACAAAGGCATCGGCAGCTGATGCTCCCTTGTTTGCCTTCACGTCACGTGTGCGCGCCCGGTCGCTGTGTGGCAACTCCATGCACTGCATCGAGAGAACCGGGCAGGTGGAGTGGCTTGGCAGCTCGACGAATCCGGAGGATCCTCGAGAAGATGCATAAGAGTGAAGACTCGAGCTCCAGGAGGTACGAAGACTAAGACCCCGATAACTTTCTCGCAGGATTGCAACATGCTCGTCACCACGGGCTTCTCGTCACAGGCCGAGAGGCAAATCAACCTCTGGGACATGAGCGGCTGCGGCTGCGGTTCATGTTTTGCTGCTGTTTTGCTGCCGCTGTCACGAGAGCTGCGCTGTACTCCCGAAGCAATGAAAGCAATTACAGTTCAGTAAGCCATGTGAGCCCTGAGCCGAAGCCCGCAAATTAACCTTAAACCCGAACCGCCCTAACCTAAAGCTTAAACGAGCTGCCCAGGAAAGCTGCCTGCAGATGGCCAGGAGAGCGTGTCGGCAATGGCTTCCCTGAACGTCGACCAAGGGACTGGGGCCTTGATGCTAGACTCAAAGGATTAAAAAGAGACAATTGGGTTTTCTTCTATTTTGTCGCCCAAAACAGGGGCTTGGCTTCGAAGGGCCAGATCTTCTGCGTCTGTATCGGGACTCCCGTTTATTTCAAGGCCTCCACTAGTAGCTGGCAGCAGGCCCATTAAGCAAGAGCTGCAAGAAGGCAGGCACATCTTTCGGGGCCACAGATGGTGATATTACGGTGGTATGGTAGCTTGTGACACAACACTGTTTGCGGAAGCCTGGGCAGAACACAACAGACTTTGGAATTTGCAGATGCTTACTCGTGGCGTGGCTTGTGGTGAGCTTGCTGGCACTCACCGCCCCCGAAGAAGCTCCCTTTACCGAATGCTTCACAGTTTCGATCCTCAGGTACCCGTACTTCGACCCAGGCACGCAGATGCTTTACATCGCCGGCAAAGGCGACAGCAACGTTAGATTCTTTGAGGCGGGAAGGGCTGACGACTTGTCGGGTCGGGAACCTCTGATTTGAAGACGGCAACCAAATCTGAACGATGAGGCTTCAACATGTGCCGGCGGTCATCAGGGCTTCAGGATCAAGCGAAGCGGAGGATGATTTCGGCTCAGGTATGGTGAGGACAGGGATTGGTGAGCGACACCTACAGCACAGGGCTACTGTACCGTCCCGGTCCGACCACCCCATAAAAGGAGACCAAAACAGAAACTGGGCGTCTCAGGTGACAAACGCAGACCCATTTCTCCACTACCTCGAGGCCTGGGCTCGCTGCCTTCATGCGAGTCGGGCTAGGGTTTAGCGATGTGAAGCGTGGTTTTGGGTTCTGGCACCATTGCCATTGCAGAGGAGTTTGCTTCACTCGTTTCAACCTGGACTGTGCATGACATCCCAAACCTGGCAAGGCATACAAGTCAACTGTTCCGCAGAAGGGCTTCGATTTCCTCCCAAAGCGGTGCGTGGATGCCACCTGCCGGCGACGGAAGCTTTCTGTTGTTGCGGGTTGGAGGCAGTGTGTAAGGCATTGTCGCCATTGTGGTAGCTCCAGCCACACTGAAGGAGTAACGCAACTATGACCCACTTCAAAAGCAAACCCAAGACGTTGCCGGTTGAAGCCCATCAAATCCGATTTGACTTTGCTAAGGTCAGCGTCCACGAGGTCATGCGTGGCCTCAAGCTGGAAACTAGTTCCATACAGACGCTGGGCTGCTGAATCTGGAGGGCCCGCGGGGTCCTGGGCTTGAAGGTTCAGATAAGGCTGTTGAAGCTCTCCCGAGATCGGCCATCAACAGTGTTGAGCAGCTTCTCCTGTATGCCTATGACACAGAGCAATGAGTCTTCACTCGTAAAGTAGCCAGCTAGGCCGGTGTCCTTCCGCGTGCCGCGGAAGAGTGAAGCCTTCCAGGAGGCGTCCTTGGTTGAACAGAGCTGGATCTTATCTCTCACCTCGTACAGGTCTGGAAGCCCCAGCATGTGTCTCTCGTTTTCATCGGAAGCGCTTGGCAGGATATCTTCCCCGACTGTCCTGCTGGACTTCCCAACATGAACGCCGACGAGTGGGTTTCCGGCCAGGAGTGCAAACCTCCAACGCTCACCCCGATGAGGCAACATCCTGCTGTGCCTGGCCCTGCCTACAGTAAAGCCTAGCTCAGCCGCAACTCTTTGGCTTCGTTGCAGGCCGGGCACCATGCGGACGCAGGGCAATGCTAGCAGCGCTCCAGCGGTGGTGTCTGTGAAAGATCTGAAGAAACAGTCTGGGCCCGAAGCTGGGATCCGAAACCCAAAGCCAAGAGCTAAGCCTCCCTCGCGGCTGTCAAGGCTTGCGGAGGCGCAGGCGCGGATCACGGTGCTGGAGGCGGAGAATGCATCGCTGAAGGAGGAGCTTGCAAAGGCGAAAGCCGGCTAGCGAACCGCCGTCTTGTTAGCGTCAGGTCTTCTACTAAGCTACTTCTGTACTTGGGTGCTTGAGAGGCGAGAGTCTGAAAAGTAGGCATGTCCTTTATGTCAGCGCCCGCAGAGTTCGAGATGACTCCAGGGTTTGCCACCCCGCAAAGCTATGGCAGCTATAGAAGCCAGAGACATACTGGCGTCCGTCCCTCTAGTAGGAATTCAGTCTAAGCGATCCACTTTCACACAAAGCAGCCGGTCAAACTGAAACGTCTTCATGGCTGGCGCCTTTGCTTTAGGTCTGCCACTGTTGAAGCCTTATTTCATGCCTGATGGGCGGCCACAAGGGATGCAAGCAGTAAACTCGTAGAGGAAAGGTGAACCCTCGTTTTCCTCAGGTTACCCTGCTGTAGGCCGGGCCGATGCATGTCGGAGCATTACGGACAGACTTATATCACGGATTTTCTGAGCAAGTACCACCGGTATCGATGGGCCATCAACTCTATCATTCTATCTGCACAGGGTTGTAAACCTCCGGCCATGCTTATCTACATGCTCACATTACCTATACCGGTCTACTAGTATGCACATACGCCTTAATGCACCTTCTACGGATTCGCTCTTTGATGTCATATCCTAGCTAGATTAGATATCTAATAACCGATCCAGAGCCGCGTGGGCATCGAAATGAGGCCATGTGGGATAAACTCGCCTCAAGGGGGGCGATTTTCCACGGCCGGGATGCGCTGAGCGCATTCCCGCAATCAATATCACGCCGCACGGGCCCAGCTGCCTTTTCTGCTTCGGTATTGCACACATCCCAGCACCAAACCGGTACACTGAAGCCAACCGAGCATATTTTGTTGCAAGGTCCCAAGTAAATAGACAGATTGATTCACGGTGCCTTCTGTAAGAGACTACTGCATGGGGCCTTGTCTACCCAGGCTATGCTCCTCAAACTTGTCGCCAAGTTGGAAGCCTTTTGCTCAAATGGGAGATGCCTACTAATGCTTACCCAAGTAGCAGCATGTAGTAGTGTATTGGCTTCATTGCTCTGCTGAAGCTGTACGTGGCCGATTCACACATACCGAAGCGAAATGGCCTGCCGGCCGGAAGGGTCCTCCCGGCATCTTTCGATGTCCAGCTAAAGGGATTTGGAATCGTGAAAAATGCAAGGTCTTCTGGCTCCGAGAACCACGGATGTCTTCAGCTCGTTCGGGATAGTACCGGACTCTTGCTTGTATCCGGTGTGCTTTGCCATTGAAGAAGGGCATCTTTAGGCTAAGGAAATCGCAGTGCTGGATCGACCCTTCCGCCAGTCGCTTCAATGACGCCAGGAACGGAGTTAGGCGCAGGTGGAAAGAAGGTGCTAATTGGCAGATCGTCACAGTTCAAGTTTGTGTTTGGATCCAAGAAGAGTGAGCGAGGAGACAAGGTTGGCACGTCTTTCTTGAAGCCGTGCTAAAAGTTTGGGATTCTTTTGTGCTATCGCATGTGGCTGGTGTGTTTTGGTAGGTGTTCGAATACGAGAGCCGAAGCAGAATCCGACAACATTGCGATGACGGCGCAAATCTGGTGAACTGATACCGTTGGTGCAGAGCGCTGAAAGTGACGCTCACGACATGTCTTGCTAAAGTTCGAGTAACTTTTGAGTTTTGAGGTGCCTTTAAGGTGCCACGTGGAGAGCACAGAGGCCTTCCATACACCTGGAGCAGGAAAGTAGCTGCAGTCATCTCACATCATGTCACCACCAATCCGCCGTGGCCTGGCTCAGCAACAGGGCCCGCCTGTTACCGCTTATGTTTGCAAGAGTTTGTGGCTTGGTTGTCAATGATCAGTGGGCCCGGGGGTGGGGCGTGGATTCTCTCATGCAGACCTTGAATGTGAGATGGCTCGAGTGTTCTGCCGAGGTGAAACCTTCATCTGAGGCACCTGCCGCGGGTGTTTCCATATCCAAAGACGCCAGAGGCCTCGTTCGACTTCCTGGCATGCGCATCGGCGGATATTGCAGGGTCCAGAGTCTAAGACACGCTGGGCTGCGGTGTGCAGTCACCCAGAAGAAAGACTTTCGCGGCCCCAGAAGCCAGCACAAGAGCTGAAGCTTGCCAAATTTGCAAACCCGAACGTTCCGAGCTGCCACTGCTTAGCCTCAACCCGCCGAACCCCTTCATCCAGATGCGGATTCTCCTCACGTGGGCTGTTTTGGCCCTCGCCGGGTCCAGTGTGGTGCGACGCGAGGCAGGGAGGAGGAAGTCGAGAAGCTAAGTCGAGATTCTAAGCAGGTGGGGTTTGCACTTTCGATGCAATGTTTTGGCTGCTGCATGGTTCGGGATGGTGTCGGTCTGATGAAGCTCGGGCGAGCATGAGGGTTTCGGGATCCGCCTTGTTGCGAGACTGGAACAATCCTACAGTTGTGTCAACTTGTAAGACAAGCTGCATTCAGGGCCGTGGCCAAGGCGACCACGAGGCCTGTGGCCTGTGGTGGGCACGTGGGACCTGCGTTTATGTTCAGGCTTTTTTACGGCGCTTAGTCGCTGTTACAGGTACTCGTATTACATGACTACATTCTTCTGGGCAGTATGAACAGCCGAGGCTTGGGCTAGGGCTGTGACGTTTCCAGTAATTGGGGTTCAGTTTGTGGCGATCTGTCTGGATACCTTATAGAACCAAATCTTATCCATGTTTGTATCAGTTTATCACAAGCAGCCCCAGATGCCTTACGACCGCCAGCGCGGTCAGAGTTTCAGCACCCGTCTATTAGAGATGCGAAAACACGGAGCGAGAGATTCAGATTCATGTCGGTTTCGGAGCAGCAAAAGTGAACCCGATAAGGCCGTGGCGAGCGAACACCAGGATCGAACGGTTCGCAAGGCACCCGTGCACTCTTTTCGGAGGTCTGGCCAGCTTGCCGGTCTGCAGTTTTTCTTCACCGACCAACGTACCGTGCTAATGCTTTGACTTTCAGTCTCCGTATGTTGCCCTGGTGCTTTCATATCTTGCACCACGTCTCAGTTCCGACGTTCTTCCGTGCTGCATAGTTTTTCTGAGTCTTCGAGTCTTTTTCCGTCGGCAGGTTGGTTTTGTGTTCTTGAGGGCGAGAGTAGTGGACTTCAATTTCGAAGCCCTGCTTGAGCTTGCTGGGACACATGAAAAACATGGGTCCGGTCTCCCTCAGACCCAAATCGTTGCTGCCCAGCACCATTTCAAATTCACCCTGGCTATCCCTCGAAACATCTCGAAACCCTGACAGTTAAACACCATTCCTGAATGCATGTGTGCATACCTGCTTGTACGTGATTGCGTACTTACATTATACATATGTACATACGTATAGATACACGCACGGTTTATGTGTACGTCTGCATATGTATGTATGTATGTCTGCATGTGTATGTATGTATGCATGTCTGCCTGTATGCGTGTGTGTCTGTATGCCTGTGTGTCTGTTTGTCTGTCTGTCTGTCTGTCTTTATGTCTGTCTGTATGTATGTAATTCGGTAATTATGTCATTAGGTCATTATGTAATCATTAAGTATGCATGTATGCAAAAACTGTTCGTCAGGCCCCACACCCTCAAAAACAGGAGGCCAAGAAGGCGACTCCCAAGCGGCCTGCCGCCCAAAAGGCGCGAGGCGCCCACTGGACCCTACTGGAAGGGGCTTAAGAGTCGGATCTTCCGAGCTCAAAGGAGGGTTTTGAAAGTGGTTTCGGGCTTCCACCATAAAGGATATAGTATAGGGGTTCATCCAAGAGTTGGGCTTGGTTTTTTGGGGGCTCCGGTGGGATTGGAGCTTTCCTGCACAAAGAAACTGACGGTTTCCGGAACACTGGCTTCTGCGGTTCAGGGGTCGAACATGGCCGAAGACATCCGTGGCATTGGACGTTTCGGCCGACAGCGCAAATGCTCCTCTTACCGGTGAGATCCTCGGAATACGAGAGATCTCGCACCTTTCCCGACATTCCATGGCTTCCTTGGTGCCGCAGAAGCCTTCGACGCCACCTCCGCTTTGCAAGGCGCCACGTCGGCGCATGGTGATCGCCACCTCCCCGGCATCGCCGCAGCAGTGCAGAACCAGATCCAAGTCCATGGAATTGCCAGATCGTGCGACGAGCCCATGCAGCAGCATCCTGTCACATGCCATGTCGGACTTGCAAGAACGCAGGGTACAGTTCGAGGAAGCCCCCGAGATCATTTTGTTTCTGAGTGCTGACGAGGGCAGTGACAAGCTGCTGTCCGTGGTTGTAGAGGATGAGCCAGAAGCTAGCCAGCCAAGCCCCTCGAGAACAACGAACGAGACTGCGTTAGCAGTGCCAGCATTACCACCAGCTCCCCATGACTTGTGTGAAGGAGGTCTGGCCGAACTTGCCGCAGAAGCTTGGTCAGAATAAGGGGTGAAGAAGGTTAGCTTCTCTAGGTGAGCAGTTGCGTCATGTACGCTGCGGCCGACTCGACTGCCTAAGGAGAAGCGGGCCGCCATGCTCCGAAAGCTCTTCCCATCACCGTGCGTGGTGCCGTCAAGAGTGCGTGACACGCTCCAGGGCCGATTCGATTGCCCACCGGACAGTGAATAGGTCGCAGCCTCGGCATTGGGCTGTGCTCCAGGACTCCAGTGACCGTAGACACTTTACGTTGTCGCGGAAAGTACAGCGACTCTTTTCAGCCCGCTTACTGCTTAATTTGCCTTCAGCTCATGTGTGCGCGCGGGCGTGCCTCGACAGCTGTGTGTTCAAGCTCTGACACCTCCGGCTCAGCCCAGCCCAGGGGAGGCAAGCAGCGAGCGTAGTCTCAGACGACTGGCGTAGCTTCGGACGACTGGTCGTCGCAAGCCTTTGTACAGTACCGTTCTTGCCAGGGCCATGCGTTCATGTCAGTTCCAGAGTGTGACTCAGGCATGCCCAAGGCATCTTTTCGTTTTCGGTCGCCATCCCAAATTTGAAAATGGGGCTCTTGAGAGTGACGAAGGATACAGATAGCGTCCTGTGAAGTCGTCTTCCTATGATTGTTCTCGCCGGGGCCTG